TTAGTGTTTCTCCTAAAACGACAAAACAGCACCAATATGCTACGTGTTTCTAAAGGGTAAATGCCCAGAAAATTGTTTATGTAAATACCTTAAAATGTGATGGATATTACACATAAGGCTGCAAACAGACACATTGCAAAACTCATTTTCTTTGCTTCCAATCATCGTTCTACTTTAGACTTTCGCCTTCTCTCCCGTACACAAGTCCAAATCACAGAGATGTTTCTTTCCAATGAAAATCTGATCTTTTTATTATACCCTGACTTTTGGCATAGTAGATTGTATTTATGGACAGTGAAAGAATCCTCTTAAATGTATTTCAGTTTGATGTCGTCAAAATAATGATGTGATAGGCTGTGCAGTAACAGACTTGGCGCAGATCAACAATGCATTTTTCATCAGTGAATACGAGGATGAATCCAACGCCAGTGCAGCAGCTTCAGGCTGTTGCACAGACATTTAGTCATCTGTGTCTCTCTTTTTCTATCTATCTGTGTGTGTGTGTGTGTGTGTGTGTGTGTGTGTGTGTGTGTGTGGGTGTGTGTGTGGTGTGTGTGTGTGTGTGTGTGTGTGTGTGTGTGTGTGTGTGTGTGTGTGTGTGTGTGTGTGTGTGTGTGTGTGTGTGTGTGTGGTGTGTGTGAAAGAGAGAGAAAGGCATTTGCAGACAGAGCAGGAGTTCAACTTGAATAACATCCGAGGCGCACATAGGCCTGAATAAACGGCGTCACGACCAGAACTGGCTCGTAAAAAATTCAATAAATGTCATAGATCCATCAATTCCTATCAAGCACGTCAGTAAATACCACGTTTTCAATGCAAGGTTAACTTTATGAAAGAGCGCAGGGGTCGTTTCACTTGGATGACGAGGGACTCTGGGCCAGCATAAGCAGGATGTGCTCACAGGGGCCCTGGCGGCCGATTGCTTTGCAGTGTTGGCACAACTGCAGAAAGACATGGAGTTCAGGTTATGACTTCCCCAATGGAGCCATACAGGGGGATCCGGCAGTTTTTGCCTTGGATTTGGCCCCCCAGGGTGGGGCGCTTGGGTGACCTGGGGACCCCTGGATGTGGCAGATGGCTGAGTCTACATGTTTCTCTTTTGAAATCACTCTGACCGTCAGATGTTTGACTACAGATCCAAAACACTTACTTTTGCCATTTCCTCATGACAGATCAAAATGACACGTTACAAAAATAAGAAAGTTATCACTTCTGAAACCTTTATAAAGCACTTCATTTTTATTCTCTCTCTCTCTGTTTCTCCCAGTTGCTCATGCCACTTCCGCCATAAAAATCCTGGCAGTGATCCACGTGCCCATTAGCACGCGCTAAATAACTGTTAACAATGTATTACCCAGACTCCGCTAAAGCACTTCTCCCCAGCCCGCATCCCTTCAAAGCTCACAGGTAATTATGTCAAAGGATTTTAATAAACAGCCTATTCCGTTCGCAGTAGGTTATGCTGTACCTTACACGTTACGAAATGTATTTAAAACAACACTTTGATAACTGGGTTTTAACGTACACCCAAAGCACACCGCACTGACAAACAAATGCAAGAAATATCCCGCTAGCATAACTTTTGTTCAAGCCTATAATGTTTGTAAGTAATTATTTGAATCAATAAATATGACAAGACAAGCATGTGTTAAAAAATACATTCGTTATGAATTAATATAATTGCCTTTCTTAATCATGCATAATTATTCAATATCGCTCAAAAGGGCGGTTTAGGACAATAGTAAATAATACATCAAAGCAACAGCCCGAGCCAATAACAAAGGTGCAACAGCACACGCGCTCAGTTCGTTGACAGAGGAGGCACTCGACCTGAGATGTACACTTCTTTGACAAAAAATAGACACAGATAATTAACTGCAGCTTAGTTTACAGCCTTCTTATAAAAAGTGTATCTTGTCAATTTCAGGTGCTGACAAATCGAGACGACAACATAACTGCACAGTAGATCTACACACACGGAGTTATAATACACACCGCGTGAGGAATACAAGTGAAAAAAAGGAAATGGCTACAATATGGCCCAACCTAATTTTTTTGTCTAATGTGTAAAACGAAGCAACATTCATCAGAAATGATTGCACCCGAATGGCTCGGATACAACAGAAAGGGTCTGGCATAGAGGGTTTCCCACCATTTATTTCTTTTAGAGGCAATTTATTTACACAGAAACACGGCGAATCGTCGCCAAGGCCGCAAATAAGGAAAATAATCTTGTATCTTTTAAGAAGCCCGGATACAAAATCCAAATGCCTCGATATGTTTGCTAGTCATCTTGGCTATGGATAGGCCTAAGTTATTTTGATTTTAGATCAGCTCATCTCCAAGATATCAAAAAATGCTTCATGTTTTTTGTATCGCTCCATTCCTGGACGGACTCACTTTAGCCCACTCTTTTTAAAAATCAATGGAATTATAATAAAGGAGCCTATGAATGATCGTACACCAACGGCACGTTGCAAAACTATGCAAGAACCAGTGCACCTGCTAACGAAAAAAAAGAACAGAAAAGGAAAGAGACGAAACAAACAATGTTATAAAATATTACAAAAGTGTGTGTATAACTAAACATTGTTGCAACAAAAATGTGTTTGTTGGTGAGGACTGGTTAAAAGTAACAGTATATATTATAAAAATGGAAGATTGAATGGTCGGCCTAATAAGACACAGAGTCCTTAACGAACCATTTATCCAAACGGGCCACGAAAGCTTTATGTTGATAACATTTACAATTACTGTTGGATCTCCTTAAATGTCAATAAAAAGCTACATTGTGAAATTGTAATGATCTTTGTTGGTTTTAAGGCCTAGTATATTTGTTTTGTATTATACTTTCTAATATGGCAACATTTATCAAATAAGACTTTATTTATAATTCCATTATTTTTCCCTTTTAGAAAAAAAATAATGAAATTGTATTTTTATATGACAAATGTTTCTAATTATTCTGTGAACGATGATCAATACATTCATTGCCCGTTTTAAAACCGTAATATTGAATGAAAGGCCAGTAAAAAGTCTGGCTTACACGTCAACTTTTGACATTTTTCATTACATTGAAAGAAATAAGCTATCTTCATAAATATTATTGAAGTAGGGTATAACTCTTTTGTTTGTATGTGCTAATAGACATAATGTAACTACGAAAATATAAACGTTGTAAAATAGATACTTTTGATTATTTTTGATCGTACGTTAAAGAGCAAACATGTTCAATCTAAACGTTTAGGGGTATTTATGGCAGATAAGTCATGCGGCTTTGTTCAATCGAAACTATAAGCATTTTCAAACGGAGGATAACCGATTTAATTCTCACGGAGTCATTAAGAAATATAGCATTCTTGAATGCTCACGGGAAGTGAAACGCAAGGCTTTTGATCTGATAACCACACGGATATGAGCACGGAGCTTGCCCTTGACGTCCAATCATTTACTCCGAATGTATGCCAATAAACTATGGCGACGTGTTTATTTTACCAACGAGCCACGAGAGGCCTCGAGCTTTTCAGTGATTTTAGCGAAGGAAACATTGAAGAAATAGGGAAAACATAATTAAATACGGATGCCACTAATGGCATTTAACGTAATCAAATGAAATTATTCTGTCAAGACCTTGGCAAGTGGCTAAAATAGTAATGCTAAGAAATAAACGAGTAGCCTATGTTGAATACAGCACTGACTGCTATACGTTGAAATGCGAAATGTTGCATAATAAACTGTGATTTGTGGGCGGTGTAGTGTGTAAATTAGAATATGTGGTTTTTAACAGGGTCATCAAGAAATCCATTTGAACCCGCATGCGCGTACAAAGGCACGCACGGCCTCAATGCCCTGTTTATTTATAGCCAGGTTCACCCCCTCCATATGTTATAGCCTCTTCACTCACCCGCACAAAAACGCATTCCCCGCGTGACCACACACTCGTGTACGCGACCATGAAAGTTGATGATTATTTCCAAACGTGCAGGAAGAGAATCCAACTAATCTCTCAAATCACTTCAGCTGGTTGTGTCTTCTATCCCTTCTGAACATATTGTGACTTTGGCCTATAATTGAAATACGTTGAAATATTTTACATATATTTTCAAACCAATATGATTAACAGCAAGCAGTGTAAGCCTATAATGAAAAATAATTGTCGTTCATTCAACACGGCCTTTACGTGTTTGTGATTAACAATGGCTATTGTGGCTACAGTTTTATTCCACAGAATCACAGCTTCTCAGGCGATTATATTTTTTTCAGTTGAACATGTGAAACAAACTCTGGAATTAGTCTGCACATTAAAGTCATGGATGTAATTATAGCCTTCAAATATTTCACAATCCACTCAGCCCATACCAAGCTTGTTATATTTTCGTGTATTTTAATATAAAGCTTGTTGGTAATTTCTTAAAGGAGAGCTTTTGTTATGTGATGAGTGTGTGCTCAATGACATGACATTTTGGATGGTAAACTGAACATATCATAGACGAATTAAAAAAATAACAATATGTTTTTCGTTTTTTGAAAATGCATCAAAGAAGAAAAAAAAATACACAATTTGGATTGGTAGTCTTTTTGTCTATATGGCCCATTGACCATAATTTAATAGTAGCTTAATCAAATTAGTTTAGCCTCTGGTGGTTTTAATGATAATCTAAGACATTTCAAATGCATCTATAGAAATACATGATTATTTCTAGGATGTGGGCCACAAGTCATGTCCACCGTGCAAAGCATCTCGGGCCGGTGTGTGAAAATGCGCGCAATGCCCCAGAGAGAAGCTCCTCTCGCTCCCTGCCTGAAGACATGATTCATTCACCAGCTCTACTTTTACCACATAAGGCGGCACGAGCGGCCCCCACAGCGGGCGGGACCAGGAAAAAGTTCCGGGGGGCTGTGATGACTAGTGATTGGTTGCTCTGCCTTGTGATTGACAGGTCGCTTTCTCCGGCTCTCCTCTAAGCTCCGGTTGTTGACACTCTCCAAAAGTCCGCACGGCTCTCACGGATAACCGAGACATTATTACAGCTCGTGCAGGCCCCCTCTGTTTCCTCTGCTGTCTGGCTCGAGGACAGACAACACGGAAAGCACCGGACTGTCATCGTGGATTGCATTTTTAAGCGACTGTGTGTGCTGAACTTTTCTTGCTCCCTGCAAGCTCGTGACGCCTGATTCCTCCTTTCGTTCCTCTGTCTCGAGACGGAGAGAAATGGCAGAGAAGCGGCGCTCCCCGTGCGCGCTCAGCGTCAAGGCGCACGCCTTCTCCGTAGAGTCGCTGATCGGAGCAGAAAAGAGACGCAGGACGACCGGAGAGGATTCCGTGTCCCCCGGCTACGAGGACGGAACCGATGTCTCTGATATAACCGGGAGCCCGGGGCAGCGAGCCGACAGAGCGTGCACCAGCGACCGGGGCAGCGAGGCGGAATGTGCATGTGACGGATCCCGTAAGTAAATACCAACAAAGAAACCCGGTAATCTTAAAAAATAGAAGATCATGAGAGAAATAATTCATAACAATTATGGATAGGACCTTGAATTGGCAACATTGCCATAAAGTGGACCAAGTCCTATACACGGTACACATCTAAAAATAATGACTATGTTGCATTTCTTCAATTGCAGATTATAATTGTGTTTAAGGCCCTTTACTGCTATGCAGCCTTTTTAAAGTCATGCGCATTTGATAGCCTACCCCCTATTTTTTATATTATTAAGAAAACACTCAAACTTACACTTGAGTACAAGCTGTTGTTTCTCCAGGCTCACAACTGCTGTCTTATGCCTATTGCAAAGCAACATTTCATTAGCCTATAACGAAACATATGGAGATTATGAATCAAAACACTGATCGGCCTTGGTCAGAGCTCCACAGTGGACATGTGATATCATACAGTGGCCCCGGTCCAGTAAATATGAGTGGTGTGAGTGTGACTAATGTGAGACGCTTTATGAGTTGTGTTGCAATCATAAACACGCCAATTAGCAGCGTATAAAGGCAGGGAAAGGATGCTAAGAGCTCTGCACAAAGCATAAACCGACTGGCCCTGACACATTAGGATTTAAATCCTCTGCAAAATGTAAAATGCACTTGGCTGGAGTTTTGTGTTTGTGTTAGTTTGGCTTGGTAGGCACATGCATGATGTCCATAAATGTCCACCAACTGCGAGGCCTGTGTGGAATAGTAGCCTACAAATAACTACAGCAGTGAAACACATAAACACTACTCCTCTAAACATGTCCTCAATATTCAAACAGATTTAAACTCAAGTAGCCTACTCAATCATAAACAAACAATACAGTTCTTACTGAGACTTACATTGGAGTTCAGTTGTGAATGTAGTAAATATGCCTACAATAATAAACTATGTATTTAGCAGTATGGTGTATTTAGTTTGAAGACAGATATAGATAACAGTCTTCCTTACGAGCTTTCGGTGAGTGAGTTATATGGACATAATCATTAGGCAACTAATAAGCATGTTTATCTTCATAAAATAACGTGTAGTGTAGTCAAATGTGGGACGTTTCGTAGGCTGATGAACTTTTTTTTCATCCTTACTACAAAAATGTAATGGGACAATTGAAATGATGTAATATAATAATGGACTTAATACTAATTAGCCTAATACTCGCGCTTTATTTTAAATGCATAGCGTGCTACGGTTTAAAGTATTGATTAATATATCTAATGGAGTTCTTCATGCTGTTTTTGTGCTTCTAGTATTGTATTCAGGGTCCAGTCTTATGACTCGCAGAACAAAATATCCTTGTCAGAGAATAAAGCCTGGCCTGGATGGGAATGTTACCGTTAAAACGTGCTACTCTCTCCTTCTTCCTGCAGCAGAGAGCGAGGACGCGCTGCTGGAGAGCCCGCAGCCTGCAGCTCTGTGCACGGGGCCGTTGACCGGCAGCGGAGAGGAGACACGCGTGGACCTGCAGGGAGCAGACCTGTGGAAACGCTTCCACGAGATAGGCACGGAAATGATCATTACCAAGGCTGGACGGTAAGAGGGATCATGAGATAATGTTCTGGATAAAGTCGGAAAGAGAAACATTACGCTCAGTGATTTCTGAAGAAACGATATGGCTATAGTACATGCCTATTTATTGGGGAAATAAGTCATAATAGCCTAATAATAATAAACTTGCCGAAAAATATAAAAAATGTAAAAGATAAAATAATGACATAGGAGTCTTAATAATTGGAAAGCAGCTATTTATACAAGGAAGGATATTCTTAAAAGAGCTGTTCCGGCAGGATTGATAATCCACTCAAAGATCGAACAGCCCTAACACAAATAAAAAATAAACAGCCTTTTCTATTCCAGGCCTAGTATTGTTTTTCAACTATTTTTTGTGTGCATTATTAGACTTTAATTATGTGGCAATAATGCCCGTGTGTTGTAAATCCATGTATCCTGTCGCTGATCTGAAATCTCCAATGCAGATGATTTATTTGGTTTTCCTGTCAGGCGGATGTTCCCCGCTATGCGTGTGAAGATTACGGGTTTGGACCCTCACCAGCAGTATTACATTGCCATGGATATAATCCCCGTGGACAACAAGCGATATAGGTAAGACAAGTAAATCAAGCGCGCACACACATAAACACTCGCTAATGCAAGCCAATGATAAAACGTCAATGAAATAGAGTAATCCTTTTATAACTATTATATGACATTTCATTTATTTCAAAAATAAAATAAAGACGAGTGATAGGGATATCGAAGTGATAATATGAAGTAGGCTAACATAAAATAATAGGGGTAGCCTACAGATGTGGCCACACCTTAACAGTATTTTTTGTTAGCTATAGGCTTTAATTTAGACTCCATACACTGTTCCAGGCTAAGAAAACACCCACATCTTTCAATTGTGCAGTCCTGTCTCCACAAATGGCACTTGGCACCGCACTGTTGTCACGGCGGTTTTGTCGTCCCTTTTGGAAAAAGCCTTTTGGATGCTTCACCTCTCCACCCTGGAAGGTCAAACCAACAAATGCCGTTATAATGCAGAAGAGAACAGCGTGTTATTGCAACGGCTTTGCATGCTATACACTGTGGGTCTATCATTTAAAACGTCCAAAGTCCGTTTATATGCGAACACGGCTCAGTGGAGTGATGAATGACACGGGACATGTTATTCGGTCAGTCTGCAGGGCAGGCTACACTGGATTACAGAAATGTGGTGCTCATATGCACGCACAGAGCTGCAGGCAACAACGAGGAGAGGAGAGTGTGCAGCTTTTTATTTCAAACGCTTAACAGCAGGTGATGAACACCTTCAGCCAGATGAGGAAATAATTAGTTCGGTTTGTAGCTGAAGGCTATGAGTCTCACAGCCTACGAGATTTACACCGATCCAAGGCCCTTTTAATTGCAGATACCCAAAATAGTATAACGCAGCTGCCTGCTTTAAATTCACAGTGGAGATTTGACTTGGCAGGCGATTTTTATATAAATGCTGCACACAAGAAACATGTGTTTGATCCGTTGTGTTTTATATAAGAATGTTTATGCCTTTTTCAGGATATCGCACACATATGAAAAATGCAGGCGAGTCGAATGATAAATAACTTTCACGGAGTTATGTCCACCTTCATACTGAAAACTCAGATCTCCATATCACTGTCCTTTTTGCTGATTGTTTTTCGTTGCGCATGTGAAACGGGCTGCATTGAAGGGTGATAGAAGCAGTGTTGAAAGTGTGCCGGTCCTACCCGGTCCTTAGTACCGGTAAGAGATTTCCAGGCGGAGGACCAGGAATAATTGAGAGCTCCACCCGTGGAATTTATACTACGAAGGGAAGATATTTTGGTTTGGATTACTGGTCTGGGGGAAGCTCGCGAGTGTGTGTGTGTGTGTGTGTGTGTGTGTGTGTGTGTGTGTGTGTGTGTGTGTTTGTGTATTTTTGCGTTTGTGCGTATTGTGTTTGTTTCCCGGGGAAAACACTCACGAGAAACACCGGCTGTTGTTATGCCTGCAGTGACGTTAAATTACTCCGTTCTCCGCTTGTAATTATGCCGTTACAAGCTTCAAAGTTGTATTTATCACCTGAATTTGCCGAAACAAGTTTAATATTCTGAAAGCCAAGACTTTGTTTAATTGAAATCAGATGAAAACAAACTGTAACGGACCCTTCCGTGTTATCTATGATTACTATACTCTTTCATAATTTCAGCCGGAGGGAGGGAGGGGGGCGGCGCTGCGGAAGAGCAGATTGCTAGGGAGAGGTGCCTGTCATCTTCCCTTTACAAGCTTCAAAAATGTATTTATCGTGTGATTTTGGAAATATATGTTTCATATTCTGAAAGCCAAGACTTTGTTTATTTAAAATCAAACAAAACACCCTAACCCCGAAAAAATAGTTTTTTTACGTAAATCCACGTTTATTTTGAAATGAGCCGTTGCGACTTCCGACTGATTTCGGTAGAGCGGGTCACATATTGTCAAGTGTTTCTAATTTCTACCCCATAAAGGCATTACAAATGTGAAGTTTGTGTTCAGGGATGCATGAAGCTGGGGGCGGGAGGAGAACAATATGAACCAATGAAGGTCGGGGTAGCATTATAGTACCTGCAAGAAATTCAAACCACTTTCACCCCTGAAGTGAGGACAGCGTGTTCATTTACCGGCCTGTGTGTTTGTTTTGTGAAGGTACGTGTACCACAGCTCTAAGTGGATGGTAGCGGGGAATGCGGACTCTCCTGTGCCGCCCAGAGTGTACATCCACCCTGACTCCCCGGCCTCAGGAGAGACGTGGATGCGTCAGGTGGTCAGCTTCGACAAACTCAAGCTGACCAACAACGAGCTGGACGACCAGGGACATGTAAGTGCAACTGTATGTGAAACTTTTTTACTACATTTCTTTGACAATAATGTGTATTCAAGTGGCCTCTTAATTCTATTTGATCTCATATTTTGATATTTAAATAGCAATATGTGTTGTTGTTGTGATACCATTTTCAGGTATCTTTCAAACCCTTAAATATGTCATAAAAATGACAACATTTAAAATCATGCTACTGAAATTGTATTCTGCATTTTGTAATAATAAAACAAATATTTTTTTTAATAATATCCTAATTCTAACCTTTTAAAAAAAATACAATTTCCCTTTTAAGGTTGAGTGTCTCTTATATGGCACATTGTGGATGTTTCTTTGTGTGTGCAGGTGCATAATGTACAGTATTTTATTCCATTACTGAGTTTTGAATTGTTCAAGCATTTTTCTATCGCTTTTTTATGTCTTTTTCATTTCATGTCTTAAGTATATTGTAAATGTACTGTTGGAGGAGCCTGGGACTTAATATTTTCATTGCCAACAACTATACTGTTGTGTGCATGTGACAAAAAAACGTTTGAATCAATCTTAAATGCAATGCATGTGGTTTGTTAGTCAAAAAACTTGTTTTATAGCAGTAATTTGAAATTCCTGTTAATTTAATCCTGTGACATTATTTCCCCCTTCCCATTCAGATCATTCTGCACTCAATGCACAAGTACCAGCCGCGGGTCCATGTCATCCGTAAGGAGTGTGGAGAGGAGCTATCCCCAGTGAAAGCCATCCCTGCTGGGGAAGGCACCCGCACCTTCGCCTTCCCCGAGACTGTCTTCACCACCGTCACGGCATATCAGAATCAACAGGTAGCACAGCTGACCTCCACACAAGACACATTCCTCTAAAAACCAAACCTGCAAAAGCCAACATGACCAAGAAGCCTATGTTTCCAGCTTACAAGTGCACACTGACAGCTATATATGTTTGTAGTTGTGTAGCCCACATTGCATGATGGCTGAAGGTAGAACACGGTGATAAAAGTCCTTTTAGAGATGGGTCACAGAGCTGGGCCTTAAACACGACCCACATACATTACCTACCACACACACACACACACACACACACACACACACACACACACACACACACACACACACACACACACACACACACACACACACACACACACACACACACACACACACAGTGGGTTTAATAAATATAGAATTGCTCTGTTTGTCATGGACTTTGTTATAATGTCAGTCTTACTTTGCTTTTCAGATTACAAGGCTGAAAATTGACAGAAACCCATTTGCTAAAGGCTTCAGAGACTCTGGCAGAAATCGGTGAGTTAAATTCCACCACAGAGATTTTCACATTATCTAGTGCATTAGGGGTAGTGTGGGGGGCACGACTGCATTATATTCTGGCCTGGTTGTGGTTTTTGTCACGGACATTTCATTCTGATTTTACGGGGAGCAAAGCTTTGTATTTATTTTATTTTTTTCCTCATGGACAATGTGCAACAACTTCCATTTAATCCGTTCTAAATGGCAGAAAAAACAGACTATAATTAACAGACGTGACACATGGTAACAGTAATGCATTTCTTTTTAAATGTGCTGACTTTAAAAGCAAATTAATCCTCACAACTGCACATACTTTGAGAGGGAAAAATCTAACCTCGGCTGCAAACATAAATGGAGCGTCAGATTCCAGTTGGCCTCGAGAACATAAACATCAACAGCAAAATAATAAAATCAAGAGTGTCCTGAAGAAAATCTGTATAAACACATTTCTAAACATATATAAACACGGCATTAAAACAACACAGCAGTAAAACTCCAACAGTCTCCAAACAGCCACTCCCTGGAGGCCTCACAGAAATCATTAGAGAGGAGGGGAGAGAAAGGGGGAGAGCTGCAGAGTGAGGAGGAGAAGGACCGGTGAGACAGAAACTTTGAGAGGGAAGAAGGTAGAGAACAGCAAACTGGATAACCCTGACAGCTGACCCTATAAAAGTTAAACTCAGAAAGGCCGATAGAAAACCCTCCCTTTAAATATTACAGGAAGAGTTAAGCAGTTTGCTAAATAAACTTCTGCTCTGATAGGCTGCTTCGGAGCACACACAACCGCCCAGGGCAGCTTGTCTAAATTATCACCGTGGCTACAACCCCGCGGGGGGGGAGGACTTTTATCCTCACGCTAACGAGGGGTAACAGAGCACTCGCATTACCCCGCCACAGCCACCGTCTGCCCCACCTAGAAGAGGAGGGAGTCGCAGATTTGGGGGGGAAGGGGAGTCCCACCTCATAAATCCTTGCTGCGGCTTCCTGCTCCTTCGTCCTGATTCACCCGTAAAAGCCGTGTGAAAGCAATTACCTCCGAGCACCCGGCTGGCAGCAGCCAATCGCAACGTGGCGTTTATGCCCCTTATTACCTTAGGTCTCCATGGAGATGGCATGAGAGGCCCCACAGGCGACTAAGATGGCCGCCAGGTGGTTGGCGTAATGTGAGGCAGACTAGTATTTCCTGATGATTTATCAGTGGTGTGTGTGTGTGTGTTAACGTGTGCTTGTATGTGTGTTCTAAAGGATGGGGCTGGAGGCGCTGGTTGAGTCGTATGCATTCTGGCGTCCGTCTCTGCGAACGCTCACATTTGAGGACATCCCTGGCATTACCAAGCAAGGTACAGTTAACTAAATGAGGTTTCTGGATACTTGGAATAAGTAATCCAGCCTCAACGGCACAGTGTTTGTGTCCCACCCAAACCAAAAAAGTGTTCCACAATTGCTTCTGGCAGAAAAACACATTTTTCGCCTTGCAAACATGTAATGTAGACAGAATCATTGGTCATTTTCTGGAATATCACAATCCAATATTTGTGATAGTGATTAAAGTACCTCAACTCAAGATATCGTCAAGTACCAATTTAAGGTCTGTGCAATATTTTAAAGCGGTAAGCTTTTTTTTCTAAAACTCAAAGGAGTTATTCAAAGTAAGGTACTTCAAATCAGGGATTTAACCATTCCGGTTCATTGGATTGGTACATCCATTGTTGAATTTGAACCAACAACACTACCTTTTAACTTAATTTAGAATTGAATTAATAAATGTTTCTCTCCCTATTTCTCTAGTTATCCCAGGACTTCATGGTGGTATCGGACCATCTTCTCACCTGCTCTCCACGTCCCCCTGCTCCTCACCCTTCCAGGTTTGCCCTCTCAGCCCGCCTGACTACGCCTGCAACCGCCCCATCCACCCTCTCCACCGTTATAGCAACCCCTCGGAGGCCTTCCATGCTCCCAGAGGACCATCTGCGTATGAAGGCGAAGGATTTTGTTCTCTGCCTCACCATGCTTCTCAACTTGGCTATCTATCCAACCCCGCACCGCAGGGTTACGCTGGGCTTCGCCTCCACTCGCCGCCTTACAGCCTGTACGGTTACACATTCCCTCCATCACCACGCCTCGCAGCCAGCCCTGACAAAATGGCTTCCGCTGCCAATCATCAGAGTCCCTTCCTTGGCTCGTCACCCAGTGGGACTCTAACGGACAGTATGGGTGTGCATAGTGCAGGACAACAGGGCTTCTTGTTTGACTCCCGGACTTTAGGATTGGCAGGTAGCCAGCCGGGAGGAGGGGCCTCACAGGTCACTGCCCACATGAGCTGAATTTGACTCAGGACATCTGGGGTTGTCATGAAAATACAACATGACTCCCTGGAAGTGGTGGAAGTTGTTTTTGGTTCGGGAACGTTCTACGAATAAATCATCTGTGTGCTGAAAAAGCATCAGGCTGAATTGTGGACAAAAGATGAGTGGCAGACCGAGCCATTGCCTATGTGAGTTTACAGAGCTCGTTAAAACTCCTTAAACTGAAGGGAATATATTATTACCGAGTTTGTATCTTTCAAGTAAGTTCTCTTGGACATGCGTGTGCAGCTGCGGTAGTCAAGGAAAAAACTTAATGCGGCTTTGGATAAGGAGTCCAAACAATGTAGGCCAGTGACTGAACTGGAGCTGAATATGGATTGGGCAGAAACTGGGCTGGCCCTGGCACTCAAAGCAAGCACTTCACACCTGGCAGGATGCCCTGAAGCAGAAACTATTATACTCACACAATAATACATTGCCTCACTGAACTTGCCTACCTTTGATGGAGTTACTGAACACTACTTTTAACTTGTTTCTATGGGTTACATTGACTCAATTAAGTTCCAACAGTTCTTAAGTCATAGCATGCCTGGTGGTGTTCTCATCAAGTATTTGGAGTGACAATCATGTAGTCCATGTAACACTACGGGCGGGGCCTTTTCACCACTCAGACTTTAACAATTGAATTACACGTAACACCAGGAGACATTAACGTAATGACATCATGGCCTTGAGAACTGTTGGAGATATCCCAATGACAGTTATGGACTGACAAGGTTGAAGCATGGGAGGATAATGTGACACGGTCGTAACTGCATATGATGACTCTGTACATAGCGAGAGAAAGGAGAAGAGATGTGTATATAAAGGGCTGTGTGACCCTTCTCACTTAAAAAAAACCCAATGCACCTGCTTCTGCTCTTTAGACTGGGTCAGGTACGCAACAGCCAACACTGAACTTGACTGAAGAGCTTTTCTTTGAAAAAACACGATATATCAGCACGCCCTTTGGCCGAGAACATTAACATGTTCTGTGACCTTTTTGAGCCGAATAAAATATATCTATTCATGTCACAATGTTTATATGTAATCAATATCTTACTAATTTAACTGATTGCATATTGTTTATTAAGATACTTCTAAACAGAAGTGTGTGCGAGCGTTTTCTTTCCACATTTAAACAAAAATTGAAGCCATTACAGAGCTTACAATATAATTTCCCTGGTGAAAAGAATGGAGGAACGTATGCTTACTTGTTCTCACTCATGGAGGGGCTTGTGGTATTGTGAATGTGTGTGATGAAGCTGACAGTGACTGGGGTCGTTCCAGAGGATTTGGATTCCAGAGAAAAGAAAAATACCAAAGGACAGAGGGGGAAAGAATAACACACACACACACACACACACACACACACACACCATGTATACATCACTTCAGGGGACATTACATTGACTTACATGCATTTCCTGGAGACTTATCCTAACCTTAACCATAACCAACACATGCCTAACCCTAACCCTTACCCTAACCCTAAACCTAACCAAGTCTTCATCCTAAAATTAATGATTCCCCTTATGGGGACCTCCAATATCTCCCCATAAGGGAGGCGAGTCCCCACACGTGACTGTGTAAACAGATTTAGGTCCCCACAAGTATAGTAATGCTAGGCCACACACACACACAAACAATTAACAGCAACCCATCGCCTTCACTATGGCCATGCAAACTAATACCTACAGCTCAGCTGAATTGACTGGTCACACGAGGCAGGGCGTGTGGTGAATGTGGATGTTAGTGTGATGGTGTGGACATATGTGAGTGCGTACATTTGTGTCTGAGGAACAGGTGGTTGAGCTGACAGCGAGGGCTTGACCTCCCCCCCAACAACCACCCACCCCCATTCCTTCAAAGTAGTACTACTCTGCTAAAAGCTTACGCCAAGATATTTCTGAAAGCTGTTTGCTGTGACTAAAGTTGTCATTTTAACCTATTGTTTAAGACCTGAACAAGCATCCAAGACAACATGGAGAGAGTGTGTTAGCCTACAAATACCAATATCTGAATACAAACGCCTTCTTGTGCGGTAAAACATAACGCTCTTCTGAAAGGACCCCCAACAGGAATGATTCTGTGGATTTATATCCAATATTTTGATTTATTTTTGCTGTTTTACACTGATTTACTCAACCGATATTTTCACCTTTTAAGTATTCATCCTAAAAGTTGCTGACTCTCCTGATGTCACCCGTTTCCTCCTCACCTCCTCTGTCCCCCCCTCAGTTGTCTCCTGTCACTCTGAAGGTGAGAGGGGCTGACGAGAGGAGCACATGTGAGGGGGGAGAGAGGACGGCAGGGGGGAGGAGAGCTTATTTTAGAATCCGGGAATGATTGGCTTGTTGTTTCTGAGTGACAGGGGATGGGCCCCCTGCCTAGTGCATTCGTACCACACACATACACACCGAAAACACTTACAGAAATATGCACATTTATACAACGTTTTTAGCCAATTTTCTTTCATAGTGTACATTTCTTAAAAGAAAACGTGGCATTACAAGATGCTTTGATATAAGGCGGATAGATACAATTAGTCTTAATATCTCAGGCACACACACTCGTATATTCATACAGACACACTTCTGCATGGTGTCAGTGGTCTAGTGATTCTCGGCTGAGGTGGGGACATTAACACTTGTGTTCGACCAGGTGCCGACGTGACAGATCTGTCACGCAATCTGCCTAGAGGAGGAGGGCAGAGGAGAGAGGGAGGGAGGGAGGGAGGGAGGGGGAGGCAGAAAAGACCAGAAGCAGTGTTTGTGTGTTTAAGATTTGTATGAAGTTAAAGCAAGCCTGTCCACGTCTTTTGTTATTCCAACCTGCCAGCCTCGACTGCTTCTTTCCCACTGACAGCGATAGTAGTTTAGACAATCGCAATATAGCAGCTCTGAGTTTTAAATAATTTACTGTTTATCAGAGAACAGGTTCAAGACTTATTCTGAGCCCGCTAGGAAGCCAGGCCCCTTGCCTCCTTTGCAACTGGTGGCCGCAATGTCCACTCAGGCAAAGCAAGCCGACTCCCATTAAAATGTCATAGCACTTGTATCACACAAATGTATCTTCTCTGTTATGGCCACAAGACACATTTTATAAATCCCAGCTATGGATATATACAAATTACTGGATACTGCATTTGAGGCAGGCCTGTTGGTTCAAGTTGCTCAGTGGCATTATGCAGAGAGAAATGCTATAAAATGGTCCGTGTCTTCTGCATTGCCTACGTATCCATGGGCCTATAGAGCAACCGATTAGCATTTCCTTAAACCCCGCCTCCCCACTGCTCAATCTCTGCCTCATTCACATCAACAAAGATAGGAAAATAGCTCTACAAATAAATGTACAACATTTTTAACGAAAAAAAAAGAGCTTTCACAGTTCTCATTCATAACACTCCGTTCGATGTCTCACTATGGGATGCGCCTCATCGCGAAGCAAACAGAAGCATCAATCTCATTACGCCAATCCTGATTGGCTGGTGATCTTGACGTCAGCGTCAGGGAATTCACCCCCTATAAGTAGCTTGCGCCACAACGCATGCGTCATTCAAACACCTCTTTTCGCTTCAGAGCTTATCTCTATAGTAGCCGGACAAGCTTAACGGTCCACAGACTGAACCCAAATATAACCATTTCGGTCGACGGGCGCTCGCCGGCTACTCCTTCTGCTTCGCAAGAAGACGGTAATACTAACGCCAGTTAGTATTAAAATCGACCTCGGCGTTTCTTTCCCCGGAAAGTAAGGTATGGTTTTGATTTTTCTCAAGCTAGCTACGCACCTGTTGCTAGCTAGCTTCCCCTTACTACCGACACCACGTTAGCGAGGACGCTTTTCTTTTTCTCTCTCACGGAGGAGAAAAGGATTAGAAGTATATTGACACACCAGTCAATATTCTTTAAGAACAAAGGACCCACACCGTCCCTTTTTCTCCGGATTAAGGACGGATTGGTAACACTTTTTCTCTCAACGACGTACCTGTTACGAGCGGGTCCTCTCCACGCCACGAGGCGAACAAGATGGACGCCTCTCCCCCTCACACCAGAGGAGTCAGGGACTCGGAGGCTCGGTCATGCGGCTGCGGGTTGAAGATAGCAGGCACAGACTCACACCAGGTCTGCTCGTCCTGCCTCGGGCTGGAACACGCCCAGGAGGCTATCGACAACCCCGGCTCGTGCGGGCATTGTGCCCGTTTCACCCGAAAGAGCCTCCACCGACGGCTAGCACACCAAGCTAGCTTGTTGGAACAGGACTCCCTCATGTCCACTGATTCGCCGTTTGGCAATCAAGACACGGGGGCGTCCGCCGCAGAGACTGAGCCCCTCACTGTGTCGGTCTGGGGCTCACTAACAGCGGCAGCTGCGGAACCGGGATCCCACGCCGTGTCAGGCCGGGACCCGGTGGCGGCAAGAGACGCGGGAACGGAGCCCCACGCCTCACCAGGCGGGAGCTCCCGGCGAGACCTCACCATGGTCTCGCCCGCGGAGGATGTGCTGGAATTAGACTACATGGAGGACGAAGAGGACACCTCTGAGTTCCTCCTGTCTGATTCGGATGAGCAAGAAGAAGATATCTTCATGTCATCGGCTCAAACGGCAAAGCCGGGAGCGATGGCTGCTCTCCCGGGCGATAGCACACCAGCTTCGCCCTGTCTAAGCATGGACCTGCAGGCCGCGTGTCAGCGCGCTGCGTCCAGGCTAGACATCCCGTGGCCCGAAATGGCCAAGGAGACCGCCAGGTCCCGTTACGAGGGGAAACATTCTCCCCAAGCAACGAGGACAAGGAGGCAACTCTTCCCGGAGATATTGGATGAGGTGTCGGTCTCGTGGAGGGACCGACCCTTTAGCAACAAGGCCCCAATCCAGGGTGCCTGCTCCCTAGACTGCGACGGTATGGAGAGGCTCGGCCTGCTCCGCATACCGCCGATGGAACTGCTGGTGGCAGCCCACCTCCTACCGAGGATGGGCCCGTCACCAAGCAGGAACCCCACGCTGCCAGCAAAGGTGGACCGTTTCCAGTCGACCATGACTGAACGGTCCTACAGAGCCGCAGCGTTGTCCGCCAGGGCTCTGAACGTTTCCTCACTGCTAACCGCATACCAAGCGGAGCTCTGTGAGGATATGTCGAGTAATCCTGGACCAGCCATTCTGGACGAGTTGGCCGCGGTCACAGACATTTGTCTCTGTGTCCAACGCTGCGCCGTCCAGGCCACGGGCAAAACAATGGGGATCATGGTGGTGCAGGAAAGAGCTAGATGGCTTAACCTCACCAACCTCCCAGACCGGGAAAAGGAGGATGTGCTTGACATGCCCATCGTTCCCGAGGGGATTTTCGGCTCCGCTCTTGCCTCCATGCAGAGGAGATGCGAGTCGAAAAAAGAAGGAGGACAAGGCCCTCCACCTCTGCCTCCCTCGAAGGGCCCAGCCGCTGCAGCCCTTCGTCCAAGCTGCCCCGAACCCTGCTCGGTTCAAAATACCGAAAACGCAGAGGTCGCAGTCCGCCCCGAGTCCCCAGCCCAGGCAGGGGACGAGGGCGAGCTGGCCTAGAAAATCTCCGGTACCGGCTGCAGCCCAGGTGCAGCCAACCAACAATTTCGGCCAGCAGTCGAGGAAGAAGAAGCGAGCGGCGTGACAGCCCCTCCTTCTCCCCTCTGTGACAGAGCTGGACGTCTACGGTTCCCCAGCTCTAAATGTGTTCCCACCGCCTCGAGAGATGCCTCAACACCATCCTCAAGTCCGCATAAACACATGTCACACACTTATTGATTTTTCTGTCATAAAACATTTTCCGCTGACGCATCCAGGCTTCGAGCCAAGGGCGCAGCTCTAAAAAAATGAAAAGAAAAACAATAAACAGTCCGTCAACTGTTCCCCTTCTGAGAGCAGCTACGGCCTCTCTCAAAGGGCGGACAATTGACGGGTCTGTGAAGGCACCGGCTGGGGTTGTGAAGGCACCACCGTCACGCGCATGCGCAGTGCCGGCTGGAGCCGTAAGGGCACCACTGCCACACGCATGTGCTGTGTCGG